CGATCTTGTGCAGAGACAGTTATGAGTCAGTTCTATACACTGAACTCCAATTGAGCATGGTGGAAGAGCAAGTATGGTCAATGGTAAGGAGAGCGCATTAGCTAACAAGGCACTGGAGAGTGCAATATATATTTTTTGTAACAATTTTAGGGTAACAGTACTTTCTTTCTCTTTTATTCTAATTTGAGTGGTGCAAAAGAAGGAATGATAAGTTCTCCTTGGATAACCAGGGAAGAATTTGGCCACTAAATACCAGAAATCTCATGTTTCTGGGATTATTGGGCCTTTATTCATCTTCTTATACCTGGTTCTACCATTTCAAGTTGGCCTTACTAGTAAAGCCAGTGATCATCAGGTTCCCCTGGCAGCCAAGGCAAGGACTTCTGCCTAACAAAGGAAGCCCCCACCCTTCAGTATTTCCTGCAGCAAAGATAGGCAAGGAGTATTCTGGCTGCAGCTGATGCTCCACAAAGGGGCTTAAGCAGTCCTTTGCCAAGCAACAGCAGAAAAAGACTTTTTTTTACAGCAGAAGAAAAACAAGATACATACAGTCTTCAACGGAGGAGCTCTGGCAACAATGCCAAAGAGCAGCTAAAGAAGTGTCCTTTCTATTTCTCTCTCCTGCAAAAGATACGATAGCAAGTATGCAGATGTCAGCTGCTATTCGGCATAAGTGTTCCAGCTCTACTTCTATAGACCAATTCCTGAAATACCCCCACTTTCTTGCAAAAAAGAGAGAGACTGCATGTCAGCTTTTGTTGCTGTTCAGCAGGAGATTCAAGGAATCTCTACTGATCCAACAGTTGAATAAAGCTCTCCCCCACCTCTCTTCTCTGCTAGAAAGGGATGAAAGTGTGGTGCCTTCAGCTGAAGCTGGGAAGCAGCCAACAATCACCCAGAGCAGGAAAGGATACAAGCATGATGTTTTTCTTCTAACCTAGGGGCCTTGGGCTACACAGCTGCCAACTGACATCCCCTCAGCTCCAGTCTAAATATTGGAATTAGGGGTAGGGGTACACAGATTACCAGGAGGTTTCCATATTGATCCCTCCCAATCTCTGCTGTTGAGAGAAGTGGTTGCTTCCCATGCTTGCTAAATGGTAGACCCACAACTGCCATGGCACGTATTACTGAAATCTACTTGAACAGTTATAAGCAGGGGAAATAATTTATCCCTGTTAGCCTTAGCAAAAGGAAAGAAGCTATTTGGAGGTATAGGCTTAAAACACAGCTTCGATGTATATAAGAACCACCATGTTGGATCAGACCAGTGGTCTGTCTGGTGCAGTACTCTGTTTACACAGTGACAAACCTGCAGCCCACAGGATCCCACAAGGAAAAGCTGAGTGCAACAGCACTCTCCTGCCCAAATTCCCCAGCAACTGGTATATACAGGCACACTGCAGTTCTCTTACTTAGCTAGCATTTTTTAAATTTAACACCTTATTGTGTAAAGTTATCCTTTACATATCCTTATCTGGCTGCCACTCTCATGGTCAGCGACCCTGAGTACAAACTGAAGGCTTATTAATACAAGGTGATTTTATCAGGAACAAAACATGCACACATGAAATCTGTAGAAGCCATGCCTGCACATGTAGAGCTTCTGTTCCCTGGGTAGCTGAATGTAACTCAAAAAGGAGAAGCCCTGGCCTGATGACTAAGTGAAAAGTTCTGAATGTCTACTCACTGTTAACAAAATAAAGAGACAACAAGGAAAGCATCATACATTGCAATCCCCAGTGCCTTGTTAGCTATACCCCTTTCTTGACCTCCACAAGTATGAGATAAGTGCTCATCCCAGATAAATGTTTGTCCTCAAGAAACACACAAACAGATTTCAAGGAGCAGACAAGATTATATAACGCAACACAACCCCCATTCTGAAAGTGAGCAATATGCTGAAGCAAAATCAGTTTCACAATAATTATCCCATGCACACTGATAAGAAACCACAAAAGTACTGAAGACACTAGTGCACTTCAGGTATTTGCTACCAATATGTGAATATTTTTGTAAGAATATGAAAGCCAATCTGACCCTAGATGCAGATACATGTGTCAGTCATACACTCCAATAAACACATGAACAACATCAGCTTGAGGGCAGGTATTATTGGAGAGCCAGTGTGGTCTGGTAGGTTAGTGCTGGACTGGGGACCTGGGGTCTATTCCCTTTTTAGTCATGAAGTTCCCTGGGTGACTTTGAGGCAGTCACTCACTCTCAGTCTAACCTATCTCACAGGGTTGTTGTTGTGAGGATAAAATGGACCTATGTAAGCCTTCCTGGGTTTCTCACAAGAGGAAAAGAGGCAGGATATAAATCCAATGTTGTAGTAGTAACAGCAGCCATAGTAAAAGCAATAATATTAATCCCACCCCAGTAAGGGCTCTTTTTTGCAAGTTCTCTGCTGTCAACATTTCTACCAGTTTGGGGAGGAGATGGAGAGTCATTTGCAGCCCCACTGTTTTTCCACAAAGGCAGAGAATCTCTACATTCTGTTGTGATGCAATCCTACAATGTTTGGCTCTAAGCACACACATTCAACACTCCCTTTTAATTCATTACATGGTGCACACTCAGAAAGACACATGGACAACCTTGTAAGAATAATAATTATGGTGAAAGGGATGGAGAATGAAAGACAGGGCAATGAAAATTGATCAAATCACAATATGGAAAAGGAATCTCTCAACTCTTGTAGAAGGCAAATTTGTTAGCCATACTGCATCTTTTAATACTTTTCTTCACTTCTGGCTTAATCCCAAAGGGATTTTTTTACATCATCCCGTCTGCTTAGTGCTATCTCTTCTATTTACTGCACTGATTAAAAAAAGTCTCCTATGCTATTCCTTTTGAGTTACCCTTTTCCTAATCTTCTTTTCTTCCACTCATTCACAACTTTTCACTTCTATCAACCAGTGTTCACAGCCCTAACACAAGATTCCTTGCCATCTGAAACAGGAGAGAACACATGTCACTGCATTATGCTCCTTCTTGCCTCTGTCAAAGCACAACTCCCTTCTCCCTACCATTGCCACTGCTACCATGTCAGCTCTTTGAAAAGTCATGCAGCTGGAAGAAGTAGCTGCAAGACTCTCAGGAAAACCATGCACCCACTTCTCCCAGCTGCTTAGCTCTTCACAGAGCTGATTTCACAGCCACAAAAATTAGGAAGGAAAAAGGGTAAGCAGCTGCTCCAGAAAGCCTTGCTGGCCACACTCACTAGTGGCAAATTCCACAGCAGCTGAACAAGTGTTGGGGCTCTCCAAGCACCTGCTGTAGTTGGCAGGGTGAAGCAGCAGACCATTCTGATGGGTGTACCATAATTTGCTGCTCCTCCCACTCCACCACCTGAGGCAGCCACCTTGGCCTGATTCATGGGAGAGCCAGCCCTGACTGTTCAAAAATGTCATGGCTTCCTTTACTCATTCACCACCACACTTTTGCTTATCTACTCTTCTCATTGCCTCACTTGCCCTTCTTATCCCATACAACATTTCATTCTCCCCAATCTCTTGTCAGATGATTCCAAAGAGATATTAATTGGATTTTAAATTAGCAAAACAGAATGCTAGCCTATAAATGTACAGAGTAACATCAGAGAAAAATGAAAATACTTTCATACCCTCCACTATCAAAATCTGGTTCACATGAGCTCACAATCAACCTGTACCAATGGAGAAAATATTGAAGAGGAGAAATGAGGCAACACAAAAGCACACACCACTCACCATAACAGCTAAATATAAGGTTAACTTAGGATTTCTGTCCCAACGTATTTTTAAAGGTAGAGTTTGTAGTAAAAAACAACAACAACAACAACAACAACAGCCAATATATATAGTCATATCATTTGCATGTGGAAGGTGCACGTACACTTTCAATTTTGAATTAGACGGTAACAGGCAGTGATGTTGGGAAAACGTCTGTATGTGACAGTAGAGAATTGTTACCTGTGAGTACTGGGCTAAATGAACCTGTGGTCTTTTAAAGAATAAGGCAGGTTTGTAAGTAACTGTTTCCGGATAACTGTTTCAGGATAAACAGCCAAGTAGCAAAGTGCAGTACAGTCCCCCTTCCTCACCTGGTTATCTAAATGCACTATCTTGCTTCTATCCTTATTAATTCCTGCTATTTTAGTTACAGCAGTGCAATTCTGTCATGGATTTCTGTACGTTTGCTTTCTCTTTCAATTCATGGATGATGGGTGTAAGGAAAGAAGTAGAGTCATCCCTGCGAAGTCATTGAAAAACCTGATTTCACTGTGCTTGAGAAACTCTGAATGACCTTACCAACTCCTTAGCATTTAGCAGATGCCAACAAACATTTAGAATATAGTAGAAAATTTGAGTTTCACCATTGGCCTGCTGTAGGTATACCTATCCAATTATTAAGCTGTCAGTCAATCCCTCTCACTGTAGCTAATATATGCATTTATAGCAATACAAAGCATCCAAGAAATTATGTTTTTCAAGCAATTTGCAGTTTTCCTACTCAAGATGGAGGCTCCCAGAAGGAAGAGGGATACTCACCTATGGAGTACATTTTGAAACCAGATAAAATAGTGCAATATCACCATTTTAGTATCTTAAGTATTATATCTCTACAGACAAGAATGTATAGAGGTATAATAGCTTTTTGTATATTATAATGATACAATCTTTTTAAACAGATAACTAAGAACAAATTTCAAAGTACATTTGTATTTATTTTATGTAAAAATACTGAGCTTTAAAAAATCTCACTTGATAATGGCAACAGACACTATTCAGTGATTCCAAGATTCTATCATATCTAGATTAATTAGGACCCCAGCTTTTGGCACACACTTGGAACATCTTGGCCAAACTTTAGAGAAGCTCTATAGATTAACTTTTTTCACTACTGGCATTTAGTATTAATAAAGTGCCACAATAGGCAATCATAGCCAAACAACCAATGTACAAGTAGTTATTGGCAACATCACAGAGAAAGGAAAATGGTTTACGTATACTAACATCCTAGTCTTGGGGCATCCAGTCAAGCTACGCAAAGAGGTGTTTTTGTCCCCTGCATACTCCCAAATGTGGAAGTAGGATCAGAAACTGGATCTGGAAGAAAGGGTAAACAGCATGTTAGTAAAATTCACAGATGGCACTACATTGGGTAATGCTGCAAATATTAGCAGGAACAAAAATATAAATGGATTTAGAAACATACACAGAAATGCACCATATTTCAGGAAAGAGTGACAGTAATGTACAATGAAATTCTGCTACAATGAAAAAGCTCAAAACAAACAGAAGTAAAGGTAGAGAGGATTTCAAGAGATCAAGGAAAAAAAGTAACAGTATGAAAAGCAATAAAACCTTTCACACTAAAGATACTCTTGCCTCACTGTGCTAATTAAAACTTGCCATAGTAAATAAGCCATTGTACCATCAACCATTTTTCATTTATTCCTACACAAAACCTACAGTATTATCTGATTAAATATATCATAGTATGTTTAAAACTATTAAAGTCTTGTCTTTCCCATAACATGTTTTTTAAACATGCTTTCAAGATGAAGCAAAGATGCATGTTCTCATTTTGTAATTTAATTGTAAAATGCATGACAAAACATGTCCTAGTCACAATAGTTTAAGAAGCAGTTTTCCTGGATCAACATAGCATTTAACGTACATTCAAACAAACTGAGAAGAAATGAGCAAAAAGGGCCGGTCTGCATATCATAACAGCTCACTATGACTTAAATTGCCCATGGGAACTGGGCAAATCATGCCAAGAGCAACTTTTACACAGCTCCCATGGGCACCAACCTTCCCATGGTTTTTCATGTCATACCAATTCAGATGGCTGAGTTGTTTGAGGGTTAGATAACCCTCAATTAACCTCAAAAACTTGGGTTTCTTAATCCCCAAACATTCCCTGCTATTTGGGTCTGTATGACATAGCAAACTGCCCACTCATGGGTGCCCAGCATGACACTAGCACCCCCCTGGGTAAACTAAACTACAGTGGGCTATCATGATCAAAAGCTATGGTGGGCAACAATGCATTCCTGGTAGGATTTGCCTAATGAATTCCCACCTGTGGCTTGCTGTATTGTACATATACAGAGAATATGGGCTATATAAGTTGTTTAACCCTTGTACAACCTACAGCTCCTGAGTTCACATGACATGACAAGCTGCAGCTGGGTTTTGAACATTAAAAAATGGCTGCACTCACTGGCACACAGCACATGTCCAATCATCCATTCCATCCCAATGGCAGTGTGGTCAACATGCAAGAAATCAGGTATGCAGATATGATGGGAAAAGAGGAAACACAATGTAATACTGAAGGGAAGAATTAAGAACTGAGAATTGAAGATGAAGTATAAAAAAAGGGTTTAAATTTAACACAGGAGACAAAATGAGGGGGAAGGAAACACCAGAAAGAAAACAATAAAGATGAGGAAGCAAGAGACAAATATGATTTTAAAATCTAACTAGAAAATAGAAATAGATGGATGGACAGAGATGACAGAATTTATTCCTCTACACCTTGCTAAAACAAAACAAATACACTGCACACTAAAGCTGGTATTTTTTTTCTACTTATATCTCTGGCAAGTTGGTCCAGGCCAACCTTTTTCAAGTTAGGTCCCCTCTTAATAAGAATTAGAATTGAGTTCAGTGCTTACAAGGAAGAAAAATTCAGTGCAGCTGTTTTACTCAGAATAATCTCATTTGTTTAAGTGTAAATATTCTGAATACTTACATGATAAATGCAAAAATGGGAGGCGTTTCAGCTGGCTTTTCAGTGATCAAGAAACAGAACATCCACATGTGCTTTTCCTACATTAAAGGGATGCATAACATGTGCATGCAGACAAACTCACCAGTGTTTTGATCAAAATTACTCAGGTTGGGAATTAGGCAAGAACAGGGTCAAGCTACCCACAGCAGTCTACAAAGAATGTGTTGGAGGCTACATGTGGATGCGCACCGTCACAGAATTACACTTTCTCTCAGACCTCTCACCTCAGCATAATTTCTCCACAGACAAAAATGTTTTACTAAACAATGGAAATCAAAATAACCAAACAGAAATAACTTACAAAAACCTTCTTGGTCAAAGATTCTGGAATTTGGTCCAGAAGCATTGCTGCCCCATGACTATATATTGGACCTTCCCCAAAGGTAATCTGAACAACCTAGAACACTTCACAGTCAGAAATGTGGCGTATTTTTCACAAGAATTAGAATCACAAGACAATTGTAATAAGCATATAAGCTAACCAATCCATGCTGCTAAGAATTAGTTTTGAAGTTAAAACACTTGCTGCATTCTGACAAGATATATGAATGCTGCAACTACTCAGGACTACTCAGGATACTTTGAACCAAGTTCAATGTATATAATTTGGAATATACCATCTGGCAAATGTTTGTTTAACCAAAAAAACCAGTATCTTTAAAAAGGTGTTTCTGCCTATTTTTAGCACATGTTTGAGACTATAAGCATGAGAAGGTTCCAAGACAGGGGTTTAATTCATAATCAGAAGATGTTGCACAAGAAAGGGAAATATTAAAATAGCCACGCACCATATCCAAAGCCACTTCTAGTATGAGGGCAACTACATAGGATTTGTTGTATATAAAGGTACAGATAGCACAAACATTTTCTCAGTAGCCACTTGTATGTAAAGCAGCTTTTTCCTTTAAAATGCACACATGTGGACCCCTTATAGCCAACACAATGCGAGAATATTTTTGCTTTAGAGGTGTGAAAACAACAGCACATACAACATCAAGTGCAATGCAGGTACAGCATGTGTACCATATCCCTTCAAATATTGTGCTTTTTGTGCATTTGTTACTTCAACATTTTTCTCTACTCCAAAGTCTGGGTTTGGTTGCACATCTGGTACTGTGCAACCAGGAAGCCCTACAAACAAGACTCCATGAAACTGGCTTTTAGCCAAGATCACAGAAACTAGCATGACTATCATCAATTTAGGAAAGCAAGGGTGTTAACTGTCAAGCACATTTTAACTAGCATGTTTAAAAGTTGTTTCAGGTGTTTATTAGTAGAACTGCTAGAAAAGAAAAACTAACAGCTAAACCCCAATATTGGCACGTGCACTAATAACAGGAAATATCACATACAAACGAATTGTCAAGAAAGAGTCAACAGGAAATAGCCACCTTCTTTCTTTGCATGTGCATTTTTTCCAAACTTGATGAAAATCTTTATCTTCATCACTGAAGTCCAATTTCAAGTTCTGTATTCCAACTTCATGGAATTATTACTTATTTTAAAATCTGGTTCTATGAAAACTGTGTGTGTCACTACTTTATATCTAGGAAGGCTACTACAGATAAACTTGAATACTGCACTGGCAGAAATGTTCATGTAAAAGGTAACATAAAATATGTCTGTGAATTACTTTGAATTACTACTAGTAGCAACAACAAAAATAAAGCCTGGGTAATTTGATCCCTGCATTATGAAGTTTACTAATTCAAGGTATCAGACGTGAACTGAAACTGACCTTGTACTTCCTCCAAATGTTCCAAACTAATAAGACTCACACCAACTACTAACAAAGCCAGCTTTCAAGAACACATCAACAGGAATCAAAACTAGAATTAAGTGCTACTCTTTTGGTCTGCGATTTACCCCACAGACATATCTCTTCACTAAAATGTACAGATTAAAATCTGGATAACCATGGCATGACACCTGTTATTAAAGCACTTTTTATCACAATACATAAAGCACAAATACGTGTTAACTAGCAAAATGGCAAAACAGTTATTTCAAACTTAACCTGTAGATTTGGCATTCAAGCAAATAATCTTACTTTTGGCAGCATGAGTCAAGGAAATTACAGTAAGTGGTATCTGAACAGTAGAGAACTCTTTCTTAAACATGAATTTTGCTAAGGAAAGAATTAAGCAAATATTCTGTACACTTTAAGATCTGTAGCTGAACTTTAGCTACATTACAATTTTACCTAAAGAACCATTTCAACCATAGTTAACTACCACTTTGTTACTAAAATTCAAAGCATTTACTATCAAGAGTACAGTTACACTTTTACTTTACTTCCTCAATTATCATCATAAAATGCTTTAGAACAAAGTTAGACAAAGTGATCATATAAAATACTAATATAATTATACTTCAGCCCAGCCACAAACCATTAACACCAATAATATTACCACCCCACTTCTTACTTCAGTTGCTTTATACCAGCCTTCCCTACATTTTAGAATGTAACTGCCATCAACTATTAATTGTTCCAGTGGAAGTTGATAGAAGTTGCAGTCTAAAGAATCTTGAGAGCACCAGGCTGGAGAAGGCAGTCTTACAATGAATCAGACCAAAGATACCATCCATACATATTTGACACACTACTATCACACTATCTGACAATAATACTGGAATACAGTCTCTAAAGTCACAAGCAGATCTCTTTTCCACTCCTACCACCCTAAATCAAATCTTTGTTCGAGGCCTATACTCCCTCCTACTAAATTTTAAATCTAAATAAATTCATAAATCCTTCATTTATGAAATAAAAGAAAGCCCAAGGAAAGACAGATACAATGCTTGTTATACCTGGTAATTTATGGGAGTTACAAATGAAGCAAACATCACTTCTGAAACCTCATAAAACTGATCAATTTGAAGTTCAAACTGCTAGGTACAACACTATCAAGATAAAATACCACCAACACAATTATACTTTGGACCTTCTAAAAATGTTTTTGTACTTTACCTCAAAAAATAATCTGGATGACTAGGTGATTAACCTTCACAGCTTAGTCATTTCCTTCATATCTTGTTTACACAGAAAGGGGGAAAGTGCACCCAAGGAGAAACCGGGGCTGTAGGGGTGTGGGGAGAGAGAAGCTGTATCTCCCCCTTGGCAGGTAGGTTCATCTTTCCCCAGTCTGTAGCATTTATGTATGTCAATCTGTATGCCATAAGCATGCAGAAGCATTATAATAGCGTTTCCTATGAATGTACCTACATCTTTTAAATTTCTGTCCAAATGCAGTAAAATATCAGTATCTACTTTCTCAGTAAATCACAGAATTTCAAACTAAAACTACAAATGCTCACAAAAACTGGGATAGTAACACAAATGATGATCTGAACACGTATCATGACCTGAAATAATTTAAGCAGCTGTGTACAGAGATTATTAGCCTTCTTATACATAGTAGCACTAGGACATGAACACCAAAACTTACAGTCCACTATCAGACAATACATTTGCTTTCCATCAGGCATTGGAAGTGTGAAAATGATGTCCCTGAGACAGGCACTAAATATCTAGAGACTCATCCAAATAAACTCTAAGCACACATATCTACTCAAACAGAAACTCTATGCATTATCTCCTAGCTTTTCCAAAAATCAAGACAGAGGCCTATTTTAGCCAGCAAGTTACCTCTGAACTGCCTTCTTGTCATAACCAGCTATAACTCTCAGATGTACTTGCAATTGACAATCCTCTCCCCTGAGCCTCAGACTGTTCTTAATACAGTCTTAAACAAAGATGACAGTGTACGGAACATAATTCAGTATAAAACTACAAAGCAAGCCATTGCTTCGTACTTTAAAGAGACATTATAGCTAATCTTTTGTACATGTTTAAATACCTGTTTTAAGGAAATACAAATGCCTGAGAAAAAATAAAAATATCAATATAGATGTATGTTCAATAATTGCTCACCATGGTTATAAAAGGATTATTACTTTAGCAAGAATTAGGAAATGCTGTTTTAATTACAGCAAATAAGTTCAGGTGCAAAGGGCCAGATTTGGAGAATTAACATGATTGAGCATGCTTCCTTTGCATTCTAGAAAACAGCTCAGTTTTAAATGATCTGCTTTGATTCTTTCTACTTCTTACACAAGAAATATGTCTTTTGTTTTGGGATAAAAAAGACTGTAATGTTCACACATACTTATTAGGCAGTGATGATAATGAAATTACTTCCAAATAAACATGCATAAGATTATACTGTAATTTAATAGTATGAATTGAGCTACTACATATTATCTTAAAATATGAGTATTATCAAAGGAAACCAATGTCTAAGGGAAGAAAAAGCATATGGAATTTTAAAAATTTAGGACACAATCCTACATTCACTGTGAGCTCAAAGGGACTTAGTTCTGAACAAATGTGTACAGAACCTCACTGTTAACATGGGCAACAGACATTCTTAAGTACTGAAAGGAGCCTATATTCTTTCCTATTTCTATATAAGGTATGGAAATTAAAGTTTCAAGATTACCATTATTAGAGAATATCCCCTCCCTAACTTTGCACACCTTTCTATTTGCATCCCTGTTTTACAAAAGCTGACAGCATTATCCCTAACAGCTTATTATATGATTCTAACACAAGTTACTCTCTCGAAGAAGCTATGCACCTGTATATCTTTGCAAATTATAAGATTCGGTAAACACAGTTAGATTTTCATCAAGATACATTAAGGTGAATAAGCTTTACGGTATCACAGGATTAAGCAATTATTATGATCCTTAGACCCCCACCCACCCCTCCCCTCCCCTCCCCTCCCCACCCCTGTATTCAACTTAGCACCACTGGCTAAATGGAGCAAGGTTGCTTTCCTTGAGCAAGGACGTAATTTGGCCGAAACGCATGAAACAAGGTCCAGAGAGACGGAGGAATAAGGGTGTAATGATGACCCCTTCGTAAATATTGGGGAATGGGAGAGGGGCGTGGTCACCCCGGAACAATCCCACTCTACAATAATCCCATCAAGGGTAACTTTCTAAAACCCATCAGCCTCTGACCGAGGGCGGACACAATTATGGCGGGAGCTCACCAAAACACTTCCTTGCTTAACCCATTCCGGAGGACACAGCCCGGCCCACCCCGTTCCCCAAACAAAGAGCCCTCTTCCTCCCCCCACGAGGGGGGCGGGGGAGGGAGAAGAGAGAGACCAGGCCAGAGTGGGCGGGGCGGAGACGAGGCCGCGGTTGCTCCGTGAGGCTCGAGAAGAGGGGGAGGGGTAAGGAGCGGCTAATCCGCGCGGGAGGGAGCGCGCGTGGCCAGTCGGCAAACGAAAGGGAGGGTAGGTGGGGGAGGGGTGCGGCTTGCTCTTCCTCAGTATGTGTTGCGGGGGGGGGAGTCACGCAGCGGTTAGCTTCCCCTCCGCCCACATGCTCCGCTCCCCTCCCCCTCTTGGTCCCTCACCCACACAGCGCAGCAGCCGGTGTCGCCACGAGTCGAGCTGGTGGCGGAAGCCGCGCCTGTCGATGGAGCACTCCTGCCGCCCGCACGGACTCGCCATCTTCTGGGGGAGGGGCCCCGAGCCGCCGCCGCCGCCGGCACGCCCGCCGTCTGCGTCACACTTACGTCATCGCGCACAGCCATGCGGAGGCGGAGGCTACTGCCCCTAGTGGGGGGGGCGCGGTACTATGGAAACCACCGTTAGGTTAGAGACGAAGCCGTTGCTGCGAGTAAGATTTGGGATTAACAGGACGGGGTCCATGGTTCTGGTTGCTCGTAGTTCAGAGGCTATATTCGGGTGATACAGAATGAAACAAGGGCTTACGTCAAAAGCGAAGATAAATACAATATATTTAAAATTTGCACCAATTCCACTGTATAAGGGTAGACCACTGCCATCCTCATGAAACATGGAAGAAAATCCCATTGAACACAGTGAGACTTATGCCCAAGTAAGCATGTACAATAGAGAAGGGTGAGGTTTGATGTGAAAACAATACATATTTTAAATAGTTTGGAAACTCTTCATAATCAAAACATAACTACAGTTCTAATGATTTGTGCTTACGATTAAAAAAAACACAGCCTGCCTTGCATATCATTGTGTAGTTCTTACCACCCAGACAGCTACAGCTATTGGGCAGTACTGAAATTTAAAAAGTACATAATGTGATTTTGTTTAGATTTGTCTAGTGCCTTTTGTGTTCTCACATCCCTTGCACTGGCAATTCCACATAGTATTGTTGTCTTAAAGATGCATTGATATAAACAATTCATGGACATTTAAACCTGATAAAATATATCATCGGAAAAAGGTGCCTTATCTATTACAATAAAATTCCTCCTCTTTTCTGCTTCAGTGTGGTCCAAAGTCTGCTGTGATTCATTGAGTACTGAAAAGTTTCACAGACAGCACTGTAAAGGCATTAGTTCCTTTTTGGATGGGACACCTTTGAAACTGTAAGGTGACTGTATTGTGTTGTTTAATTTATGCATACACATGCATGGCACAAGTAAAAGCAAACAGGCATTCATAAAGGAAAGATTCTCTCCCAGAGATAAAGAGAAATGCAGTGAGGCGGCATCCCCATTCTAAGTGTTAACTGCTTTTCTGCTGCTGCTTTTTTCTTACTCAAAACACGCAGAAGTCTTTACCACATCCTCTTAGCTTGAGGAATGCCATCTTTTCCCATTACTGATAGGTATCTCAGCAAAAAACAGAGGTTTCAGACTATCAAGAAACCATCCCATAACTATTTGTTACACAATGAACTCGCAATACACCCAGCAAAGCATTTGTTAGCCAGCAAGTGTAGCATTGCCATGAAACTATCTAGAGGTATACTCTTAGATTGTAGGAATATTTTGTTAGGTTTATGTTACAGTGCCTGTATTAACATTGCATGGTAATGTCCACTAACCTGAGTGGGAGGAAAAGGGTTAATGTCATAAACAAGATGAGCCTGTCCCTTTTCTTTTCCCATCTCACCTGGAAAGTTAAAAGGTCACATGACCTTTTGCCCCTCTCCCACTTTGAGAAAAGAGGGACGTGCTTCTAAGTTGACAAGCTAACAGTCAACCAAGATATCCTGCATGAAGGTACCAACAAGTCCGATATGGATTGTTTGTACATAAATCTTTAATCTTTTGTTTAAAAGCCTCTCAGTGTGACTTCTAAAAGATCCAGGTGCAAGCAACAGCCACTTGTCTAAATCCACTGTTTAATGTTTACCTCTGCTGAACCAGCACATAACCAAAATAATACAGGTTATCAGCCCAGGGCTCACATTTGATTCTGAAATCCCTAGCAGTTTTTCAGCTTGAGAAAGAGAAAGTTTTCTTGGGTTGAACATACAAGACGTTTCTTGGTGTGGTGTTGATTTTGATTTTGTTGTATTTAAGGGTCAAAAAATCCCTTTATTTTCTTGTTTGTATTATGAAAGGCTGTATTATTCTAGGTTTGTGAGAGGGTTTAAACTAAAACTGGATTGGAAGATTGAAACTGAGACCCATTACTTTCCATTGTTCTTTGCCAGAGAGAAGAGCTGGTAACCAAAGTGACTAGTCCTCAGGGAAATTTCGTCCTGTGCTGGAAATTTTGAGAACAAGAATGCAGGGCATGTGGCAAAAATGGAGTCCAAATTTTTACAAGATTCTAACTCTGACAAATACTAACATCAGAATTTGGAGAGGGATTTTAGATTCAGTGCTAGAGGCAAATGATCTAGCTGGATTTCTTGAAAAAAGGCTACTTGAAAATGCAGACCAAAAGAAAGTATGGGATGGATAGAATAGAACAACCAAGGCCATTATCTTGAGTTCTTTAGGAGACTCTGATCTTGAGTGTTTTGTACATTTAACTAAAGCAAAGTTTTTTTGAACAGGTTAAAGTAATTTGCTCTTTCAAAAGCAAATAACACATTTTTCCTTCATTCAAATAATGGTTATTCTAAAGTTAGATAAACTGAGAAATCTGTATAATGACTATACTTGTTTTCAGCAACTGGCAGAGATTGGCTGTCAGCTAAATGATGAGCAAAAAAGGTTTTTTTTCTTGTGCAGTTTGCGCAAGGAATTTACTCTTGTTAGAATGCTGACCCAAAGACAAGATGCACTGAATTACAAAGAAACCATTATGGCCCGAAAGAAAAGTGTAGTACATGGTTTTACTCCCAGACTTAAAAAGGAACATGTTACACCCCTCAGCTTGGGTTCCCCAGGCAAATCCCATCCCTAAAATAGATTAGAAACCAACCTATAGTCTACTTCCAGTGTTAGGAGAGAGGCTATAAAGCTAATGAATGCCCACAACCCTCAACTAATGGCAGCCTGTTTGACCAGAAAATAGCCACCTGCAACCTGAAGCTCATACACAAAGTTTTTCCAAAAGGCAAGTTAAAGGGAAATATTTTCTTACTGAACATCACAAAGCACTGAGTATGAATGAAGGGGAAATGCAGTCAGTGACATAGCTTGTAGACTCTGAAGATTCTGTGCATTCCAGGAATAATACTGATTTTTTTAAGAATCTTGATAAAGTTCAGGATGGGCAAGTTGAACTTGCAAATAGAGATTCTCTAACCTTTTCTGGAAGAGGAAATAGTCACTTAAGTTGCAAAGCTGGACATGAAAGTTTTGAAGTTCAGATTAATAATGTCCTGTATACAGGTAGTCCCTGGGTTACAGACAAGTTCAATTCCTGAGAATGTCCTTAAGCTGAATTTGTATGAAAGTTGGTGTATATAAAAAGCATATAAAACACTTAAGAAACACTTCTCTATACACCAAAACATCTTAAACATGATACAACATTTGAATAATGACAATACAGTAATAATAAACTATAGGTACTGAAGAGAAAGAATCTATATATGTATGTGTGTAGGTATAAAGTACGATTCTTAAAACAGTTTAGATAGATAGAAAGATTTAAAAAACAGTAAAAACATTCTTGAGCTAACATTAAGCCTAACATTAACTAGTTGATGATGGAGATGGGACTGATGCTGGCAAGTCAGGGTTTTATTGTGCTGCTGGAGTGGGGTTATCACGGGAGTTTCTTTTTAGTTCTGACCTTGCAGCTTGCCAGCACTGCTTTTTTCCTCCCTCCCTCCCTATTCTTTAATTTCTTCCTCTTCTCACCACCTGGTGTGAGTTCTAACTTTATGTGCTGCTTGCCACTCAAGGACAAAGTGGGACTTATGGATTTGCTCGTTTGTAAGTATGGTTTGTTTGTAACCCAGTTATTCATAACCCGGGGACTTCCTGTATACCAGAAACTCATTGCAATTTCTTGGTAATAGATTTGAGGTGAATTTTAGAAATGGCAAGTGTATTTTATCTCAGCAAAGTGAAATCTATACAGTTGCTAACAAAAACAAGGTATATATGAGTTAAGCCTTTCAGATGTGTAAGTGCATGCAGCTGAGACCCAGTTTCCCACCATGCAGTGAGAAACACATTAGTAAAGTGCTAGAACTTGTTCATAGTGACATAATGGGACTAATGCAAGTGCCCTCTGCTGGTGGAAATACTTATGCAGTGACCTTTTCTGATGATTTCTGCTTGCAAAGAAGAGGGAAACCACAGAGATGCTGTGATGCTATGTGGCAATGAGACCAACAGTTTTGGAAGAGCACCTGAGTTAATTCAGATGAACCAAGGCAGTGAGAACAAGTCACACCATGATTCCTGACTGAGAAAGGGATAAATCACAGAACTTCTGT